AAAAAGGTAATGCGTATACTCAGGTGGTATTCTTTTTTGTATAGTTTCAGATATCTAACATCAATTAAGGTATTTGTGATAATGGTAAATAATAATAACAAATCATATAATAAATTTACATAATAAAAAGATACATACCATTTCAGGATGTAAATCATTCAAATTTTTAATGGATTGAGCTAAAAAGATTTTTGGATCTTTGATTGATTCTGTAGGATCATCCTTTGGTTTATTGGTAGTTGCTAATTTGGAATACGAGGTTTGGAATTGCATATCTTCTTCAAAATCAATTGTCAAAAAGTAATTGTCTTCATTGTAATTCTCAATTTCAGTTGGTGCTTCAAAAAGTTTAATTAGTGCAACTAAAACAGAAGGCCTATATATATATATATATATAAATAAAATTAGGAATAAGGAATTATTTTAGAGTGATATTTCTTTAAAATAAATAAGAACAAAATGTGAATTAAAATAAATATTACCATTCATTAAAATATTTATCTGTTAACATTATATTACTTTGTGTTATAAGACGTGTCATCCCCACTGCGCAAATTTTACGTTCCATGTAACCTTGAACTTTTTGTAAATGAGGAATGATGAAGGCATTCAAGACTTGTATAAAAAGTCTGCCAAAAAAAAGTAATATATAGTTAATTAAGAAAAAATTATCCTTTGTTTAATTGAAATCAACAAAAGAAATACGTCCAGAAAAAAACCATACTGATTTTGAAGTGAATCAAATGCTTGGATTACATAATCTGGATTCATCCCTTCCTTATCTACAGCAAGAAAATAACATACAAAATAAACGAATCCCATAGTGATCTGCAGTAACTGAATTTTTTGAATTGTAATTGATGAATTCAATTAGTTGGTCATTCATTTACAGTGAACTTATGTGTAAAAATAAAATTTGTGACAGTTGTGCCTGTTTGCAGCATCTGTATCTGTTTGTGGCAGCCATATCTATTTATGGCAACTGCATCTATTTGCAGCCATATCTGTTTGTGAAACCACATCTATTTGCAGCAGTTGTATCTATTTATGGCAGCTGTATTTATTTGTGGCAGTTATATTTGTTTGCGGTAGCCATAAATATTTTATAATGGTAGTTGCCATTGCCACAAATAACCAATTATGGCAGGTGTCTTTACCTGTAGTACATCCATTTTTAAAATTTTTATATCATTTCCTGCTTCAACTTGATTTAGAATCCAGTTAATATGTAAATGGCGATATTGTCTTTTAAAAGACATAATGATACCAGCATCCATTGGTTGGATTTTTGAAGTGGTGTTTAGGGGGAGAAAATGTACATCAACATTTGAAAGAACCAAACCATCTATCTATTTTGTGACTTGGACAATTATCAAGAAGTAATAATACCCATTGGTTTCCATATTTTGAAGCAATCTCTCTGTTGAATTCTTGGATCCAATCTTGAAAAACAGTGGTTAACATCCAAACCTTTGTATTATTATGATATGTCATTGATAAGTTATTAAGGTCAACATTAATAAAGTATTGTGGTGTTTTAAAATTTTCCAATTAATAATGGATCCAATTTGTGTGATCCATCTGTATTAGCACACAAGGCAATTGAAAGTCTTTCTTTATTCTTTTTACATCCAATGTGGCTAATGTTCTAATCTATAAAAAAGACCTGTTTCGTCTATGCTGTATGTTCTTTCAGGTGGATAACTACTACACATATTTTTCAATAATGGTGAGGATTCAGTAATTGCATTTAGACCAGCTGATGATGCTTCTCCTTGAAGCTTTTGTTCTTGAATTCTATTACGTTTTTTAAATCTATGGAGTCATCCAGAAGAGAAGGTCAATGTTTCTTCTGGTACACCCAAACCATTTGTTATTTTCTTAGCTTTTTCAAGTAAAACAGCATCACTTAAGATTACTCTGTTTTAATAAATTAAAATAAACTCCTTAAGGGCAAGCTCAAGTTCAGGAACAGTTAGATTTTTATGTATTTTGGCATCTGAATTAGTAACTTCAGTATTAAGTATTTCTTCTTTTTTTGCAGAATTCTTGTTATAGTTGTTTCAACCACTCTAACTCCCCATTTTTGTTCGATCCAATCAACATATTCTTTTCTGGTTAATTTGTTATTGCCAGAAAATAAACAATATTTTTGAGAATCAGATAGTTACTTTATTTTTTAGAGGAATTTTATTTAGAAACAATAAAAGAATAAAATATTTTAATGAGATAAGTGTGAGTGTAAAAATCAGATGGTCGGATATGTAAGAATATATTTTTAAATAATAGAAGTTTTTATTTTTTAAAGTTTATTACAAGAGTCTAGTTATTAAAATAAAATTCTTGATTCATAACTTATTTATAATAATTTCAACTACATAAGTTTCTCTGTCTATTTTCTTCTTTTGTTCTGATAACCTTTGTGCCTATTAAAAAGAAAGAATTCTTTATTTGTTACTTAATAAAAATGAAAAATTCTTTAAGAATAATTCTTTATCATCCCTCAATAGCATAGCGGACATTTGCATATTTGGTAATGATTTGCGTTAATCACATTTTGATTTTATCACGTAAAAAAGAATTT